GGTATACTGGCTTATTATGTTCCAGGCTCAATATTAGGGTATACTGGCTTATTATATTCCAGGCTCAATATTAGGGTATACTGGCTTATTTTGCTCCAGGCTCAATATTAGGGTATACTGGCTTATTTTGCTCCAGGCTCAATATTAGGGTATACTGGCTTATTATGTTCCAGGCTCAATATTAGGGTATACTGGCTTATTATGTTCCAGGCTCAATATTAGGGTATACTGGCTTATTATGTTCCAGGCTCAATATTAGGGTATACTGGCTTATTATGTTCCAGGCTCAATATTAGGGTATACTGGCTTATTATGTTCCAGGCTCAATATAGGGTATACTGGCTTATTATGTTCCAGGCTCAATATTAGGGTATACTGGCTTATTTTGTTCCAGGCTCAATATTAGGGTATACTGGCTTATTATGTTCCAGGCTCAATATTAGGGTATACTGGCTTATTATGTTCCAGGCTCAATATTAGGGTATAACTGGCTTATTTTGTTCCAGGCTCAATATTAGGGTATACTGGCTTATTATATTCCAGGCTCAATATTAGGGTATACTGGCTTATTATGTTCCAGGCTCAATATTAGGGTATACTGGCTTATTATGTTCCAGGCTCAATATTAGGGTATACTGGCTTATTTTGTTCCAGGCTCAATATTAGGGTATACTGGCTTATTATATTCCAGGCTCAATATTAGGGTATACTGGCTTATTATGTTCCAGGCTCAATATTAGGGTATACTGGCTTATTTTGCTCCAGGCTCAATATTAGGGTATACTGGCTTATTATATTCCAGGCTCAATATTAGGGTATACTGGCTTATTATGTTCCAGGCTCAATATTAGGGTATACTGGCTTATTATGTTCCAGGCTCAATATTAGGGTATACTGGCTTATTATGTTCCAGGCTCAATATTAGGGTATACTGGCTTATTTTGCTCCAGGCTCAATATTAGGGTATACTGGCTTATTTTGCTCCAGGCTCAATATTAGGGTATACTGGCTTATTATGTTCCAGGCTTAATATTAGAGTACACTGGCTTATTTTGCCCCAGGCTCAATATTAGGGTAAATTGGCTTATTTTGCCCAAGGGAAGCGGTAGACCCGTACAGAGAGGGTCATTCAGCCAGGTGAGGTAGTGCAGGCTTGATCCTACGTCTGTTAGGGTCGATACTACACCTTAAATGATGTAAATAGAGCCTAACAGATATAGGTCGACCCTATATTTGTTTATTTACGATGCTACGTTTGTCAGGGCCGATACTACGTCGGTTAGGGTCAGTACTACGTCTGTCAGGGTCAGTACTACGTCTGTCAGGGCCAGTATTACGTCTGTCAGGGTCAGTACTACGTCTGTCAGGGTCGATACTACGTCTGTCAGGGTCAGTACTACGTCTGTCAGGGTTGATACTACGTCTGTCAGGGTCAGTACTACGTCTGTCAGGGTCGATACTACGTCTGTCAGGGTCAGTACTACGTCTGTCAGGGTCGATACTACGTCTGTCAGGGTCAGTGCTACGTCTGTCAGGGTTGATACTACGTCTGTCAGGGTCAGTACTACGTCTGTTAGGGTCGATACTACGTCTGTCAGGGTCAGTACTACGTCTGTCAGGGTCAGTACTACGTCTGTCAGGGCCAGTATTACGTCTGTCAGGGTCAGTACTACGTCTGTCAGGGTCGATACTACGTCTGTCAGGGTCAGTACTACGTCTGTCAGGGTCAGTACTACGTCTGTCAGGGTCGATACTACTTCTGTTAGGGTTGACACTACATCTCATGGGTTAGATTCTACTTCACTTGGGCCTCGATCCTACATCGCTTAGCCTCGATCTTACTTCACTTGGGCCTCGATCCTACATCGCTTAGCCTCGATCTTACTTCACTTGGGCCTCGATCCTACATCACTTAGCCTCGATCTTACTTCACTTGGGCCTCGATCCTACATCTCTTAACTTCCAGGTTAAGTTCATCAGGAAACAGAAGCTTTTCTTGACGTGAGTCTTAAGTCATAAGATGACCCACAGCTGGAACTTTTGGTCATCTGACTAAGCCTTCCGCTGGCTTCCAACTCCATCACTAAAAAAAAAATACTTATATGAAAAATACTTACATAAAAGTGTTTTATATTTTTCGATTTTACAAAATATTTTAAAACGCCAGATAGTATTTTATTATTGTCAATTAATATTAATTAAAAATTTATGAAAAATAAAGTCGTTTCCAAAGAATTTATATATTTATTTCCATTAATATTAAAATATCTATTCTAATTCGTGACTATTTAATAAAATAATAGAGTATGAACCATATAATAATAATATTATATATATATATATATATATATATATATATATATATATATATATATATATATATATATATATATATATATATATATATATATATATATATATTATAACCAGTAAAATGAGAAGGCAATGTGCTATCAGTTGGACCTTCAGGACTCGAGTCCTGGACTTGTTAACGTGGAGACTGACTCGAGTCCTGGACTTGTTAACGTGGAGACTGACTCGAGTCCTGGACTTGTTAACGTGGAGACTGACTCGAGTCCTGGAAGTGTTAAGTATAGTACCTGCACCATGAGGGAAGGAGTCATTGAGATTTGTACTTTTCAGTTTCTAGATCCTGCTAGTCCTACTTTTTTCTCCTTTGCTGGATTCAATAAGGAAAAACCTCACTCGTTCGAATAACATTCTTTGGGAATTGAGAAAGAGGGAGAGAGAGAGAGAGAGAGAGAGAGAGAGAGAGAGAGAGGCAGAGACGGAGAGCTTTAAGTAGACCTCGGAGCACCTTATACATTCTAGTGTCTGGTTGTTGTAGTGTGTGTGTGTGTACTCACATAATTGTGGTTGCAGGGGTCGAGTCATAGTTCCTGGCCCCACCTCTTAAGTGGTCGCTACTAGGCTGTGTGTGTGTGTTGGACGGCAAGCACTGTGTTGGATGATAGACATCAAGCTGGATGTATACAAACCTTGTTCCCTCCCTCCCTCCCTCTCTCACTTCTGTTGACCTAACAGTATCCACGATTCTGTTAACAGCTGCATGACCCTAATGGGTTTAGCGCTTTTATACTCACAAAAATCCCACCCAAAAATAAAGGCTCTTAAATTGAGGTTAATTAATTTCAACTGGATTTTGCTTGCCTTGTGAGAGATTTACAAGAAGTGTGTTGCATGCAACACAGATGAACATCGTTAGCAATAATTATGATGCAACACCAACATGGGTGAGGTAAGGGGACACTAGTGGGATGCTTGGGAATGAGGAGGAACATGGGTGAGGTAAGGGGACACTAGTGGGATGCTTGGGAATGAGGAGGAACATGGGTGAGGTAAGGGGACACTAGTGGGATGCTTGGGAATGAGGAGAAAATCATTATGACTGAACGAGGGTATTGGTTGTTAAGGGATATTGACCTCTGTTGACTTACAAGGGTGACCAAACATTGGCTGGACATTGGCTAGGATAACTTTCCTGTGATGATGGTAAAGAGTTTTCTCTCTCTGTCTCTCTTTCTCTCTCTCTCTCTCTCTCTTCTCTCTCTCTCTCTCTCTCTCTCTCTCTCTCTCTCTCTCTCTCTCTCTCTCACTCTCTTTCTGATCTATCCATCTTTACACAAGTCTTTTACATGTTTAGGTTAAGAGTCCCTAGTTTTATTGCCAAGCTAAGAGCTGTTGCCTACATCAGTTACTGGAAAGCGTTTTTATTGTTATGAGACTTACAAGTAAGGGACAGGATAAAGTTGGAGCCATCTGCGGGCTAGTGATTTAAGTTGATCAATTGAGTCATCTTGGAATAAATGATCTCAGATGAAGTGATGTTGTGGAGAATCTGGAGAGAGTTTATCTGGAGTTTATCTGGAGAGAGTTCCGGGGGTCAACGCCCCCGCGGCCCGGTCTGTGACCAGGCCTCCTTAGGTCAGTGTCCCAGAATGCGACCCACATCAGTCGACTAACATTCAGTGTAGTTGCTGCTTGTTGCCCGTCTTGTGGTGTAGAAGTTCACTTCTCGCTGTCCTCAGAGTGGAGCCCAGTGTGATAGTTTGGTAACATTAACCTTATACATACCAGTAAGGCCGCCCATAACCCTCCGGTGTTGAAGGTTCTGCTAAAATAACTCCAGGTAAACTCCAGGTAAACTGGGTCCTGACGAGAGATGAGCCATCTTGCTCTGTTCTCTATTCTGTCAAGAAGTCACTGATGAGACAGGGGAGCAATCCAAGAAAGTGGAGCATACTCAAGGTGTGAGTGTGTCCTTTGTATAGAATCTTGCAGCCTCGGCTATCAAGCACATGCGAGATATGTCTAAGTGCTGTAAGTTTCTCGAGATTTTTGTTTGCAAGATTTACAACCTGGTTCTTCATATTCAGAATGGAGTCAAATTTCACTCCAAGGATATTAACTTCATCCCAGGTTACCAACACGTTCCCATTCATTCTTACCACTACCTCAGCATTACCATGATGATAATGCATGGAGAGTATGTTCATCTGTGTTTTCTTAGGAGCAAATGTTATATGCCATTGTTTTTCCCTGGATAATACAGAATGTGTACAAAGAGCCTCTCTTTCTTTCTCTCTCTCTCTCTCTCTGTCTCTCTCTGTCTCTCTCTCTCTCTCTCTCTCTCTCTCTCTCTCTCTCTCTCTCTCTCTCTCTCTCTCGCTCTCGCCCCAGATGTGAGGTACACTATATTTTTCTTTTATGAGTTTTAAATTAATAGATGGAGGAGACAAACACCATACACAGTTTCAAGAGAAGGTATGATTAAGTTTTTGAGGTCAGGTTGTGCCAGGAGTTATGAATCAACCCCCTGTAGTTACATTTACAGCGTACACCACACACACACACCACACACACACACACACACAACACACACACACACACACACACACACACACACACACACATAATGAAGTTTTTTTAAGACAAATTTAGAATAATAAAGTTGGGCCATCTTGGCACAGCATCAGACCTGACACTCCCTACCCCTGGTGCCCCTACCCCTGTTGCCCCTACCCATGGAACCCCTACCCCTTTACCCTCAACCCCAGGCACCCTTGCCTTTTATCCCAGGGGCAGATCTCCCTAACCAGGGGCACACCCTCCCTTAAAACCCCCCACCAGACAGAGTAATGGTGCGGGTAATGGAGTTTGCGCCAGTTTTTAGAAGACTTAAGTGCAAAATTCTCCCAGATGAAGAAATATGCGTCGCTGGTAATACGATTTATAACCAGCAAATTTTTGCCAAAAGATG